TTTTGCACTCGACGAGCCGCTGCCGCCCTGCTTGGCTGCATGGGTACAGCACCGTTAACTGTTTTTTATCCTTTTTGTTGTTTGTTCGTTTCCATTGCTTTCAGTGGGCGACCTCTCTTGCTTCCTCTCTATCTCTTCCTGGATTGGGCTGTGCGGGAGCAGAGGGAGAGATGGAGTGTGTGTGTCCTGGTCGTCCCATGTGTTGCTGCGCGTCCCCACTGCTCGGTGGACGCGCCCCCACGCTTCGGATTCACTTCACGGGGTTTGTTTTTGTTTTAAATTTCTCTGCTTGTGTTTGTGTGTTTGGGGTGCCCGCACACGTTTCACAGCTCGTGTGTGTGCGATGCCCTCTGCAAAGGAGGAGGGCAACTTTATTTCGGCTTCAGTCGACTGTTTTTTTGTCCCGTAATGCTGCCTGCTCAGCGCCGTGCGTGCGGCGGACGGGAGTAAATGCCCGGAGGCGGAGGCGCAAAAATCCGTCGTGCCGCGGCGCGGCGGGGATGTGTGGCTTTGCCTCCTCCTCCTCCTCTTCGTGCCTGCAGCCGCCCTTCCCTCCTCCTCCTCTTCTCATTCCCCTCCCGCAGACAAGCGCTGCGCTGCCACCACTGCAGTCATTCTTCGCCAAACTCAGGCACACACGCGCTTTTCTCACGCCATGCACCGCCGACTCCGCGCCGCGCCGTTTTTCCCACTGCTGCTGCTGCTGCTGCTCGTGATGCACTGCGCCGGCGGGTGCCGCGCCGCTGCGGGCCGCCGGGTGTTCGACGACACGGTGCCGAAGAGCGGCCGGCCGGCGGCTGCGGTGGTGCGTGAGGTGCCGCGGAGGGGGCAGGGCGCGGCGCAGGCGTACACCGTCGCAGCGGCGGCAGCGGCAGGAGGAACGAGCAGCGAGGGCTGGGCGCCCATCCGCATCGAGGTGTCCACGGAGGACCTGAAGGACGAGACGAAGTACTGCAGGGCAGACGGGGAGAAGAAGCCGGACTTTAAGGGCAATAACGAGGTTTGTGCAGAGCAGTACGTTCTGACCGAGGAAAGGAAGAGCGCCCTGGTGAACGCGGTCATCCCTGTGGCCGTCAAGCTGCACGCGGAGCGCCTGCTCGTTCAGCGCGTGCAGGGTTTGTTGCAGGTGCCCAAGTTCCCAGGCACGCGTGGGCGGTGCCAGCACTTCACGGTCCCAAAGTGAACATCGAACAACGGGAGTTGCCAATGCGGACATGGTGCTCTACGTGGCTGCCGGGGCGAGTGCCGAGACGTGGGCGG